AAGAAACGTCAGAACTGGTCGCCATTGCACGAACCTGACGGAGTGAACTGGAGGGAATAAAACGGATATTCACGGATGAGAATCGTGAGAAAGAATAAGACTTTGATCGGTTGACGAGGGGTCTGGCGAGAATTCTGCATCCGTAAGACCGCCATGCCTGATCGGTTGATCGGTTTCTCCATGCCGGACCAGCAACCGTAAGACGCCATGCCTAGTGGAAAATTATACAAATCATTTTAGGATTTAAGAGGTGTATTGAATTGGGAGTTTTAAAAGTGATAATTTTAGTACTTTTAGCCCATGTTTGATGTTTGTTTGGTGGGATGGGATTCGACAAAAATAATCTAAACCTGTGGGATTATCTTAATCCCACCAAGAAGAGAGGATGAATTTATCCCACTGTCATAGGATAAAAACAATTTTAATCCCGGGCCAAACAATTTATCCAGGGCCGGATCCTAGCAACCAACCATGGGATTAAGACAGGATAAGACGGGATATCATGCCTTATCCTGGAAAGCAAACATGTTTGTACTAGTATATTTTTGAGATTGGGGATAAGAAATTTTTAAGTCTTGAAAATTTTAAATCTACATGATTTGAAGTAGAATTTTGTATAAGGTTTTTTTTTTAAAAAAAAAAATAAAATTTCACCAAATCTTACAAAGTTTTAATAAATTTTATTGTCAAATAAATTAACTCAAGACATTTTGTAAGACTTTTGAAAATTTCAATTCAATACTTTAAGATTTTTAAAAGTCTTAATAAATTTGAATTAAATACACCAGTTTTTATAAAGTCTTAAAAACTCTAAAAATATCTAATTGAATATGCTTAAATATTTAAAAGTATAATAGACTTACTGTTTTTATTTAAGTGAATTTAGATAAATTCTAATTTAGTACTCCTTATTAATAATATATTAATATTAATATTTAGATTTATTTTTATATATATTAATGTATTTTCTCATTTTTGAATTCATTTGATTTATCATTATCGAGAAATGTTCCCCTACCCCAGTGGGCACATGTTAATATGCCATCGTCGTAGGTGTCATCTACGTGGTCATATTAACATGTGTCCACCGTGGATAGGGGAGCATTTCTATTATCATTATTTATCCCGAGTACAAAGTTCATAGGAATGAAAAACCTAGAGAACAACAAATCACTCGAGCTTTCTTCATCGATTCAATATGGGAATGTTGATGGGTGGAGGTTTTAACAGAGCACCAAATCACCCAAGCTTCCACAGAGAAATAATTACTGGTCGCTTGAATTCCAGGTATTTTTTCAGGAATCTTTCATCAATCGAACACAATCCCTCGCCGCGTTACATCATCCCCAAACGCCATCTGCAAATCGACAGCACAAGAAGCTCCCTCCCTGAGAAGAAGAAGAAGAAGCTGCTTCCTCTTTTGCTGCGCAAACATGGCAACAACATGAATACTGATGGAGACGTTGACTTGAGGTGTAATTATTTCTCTGTGTTTGATGGGGATGACAAATCATTATCAACACGACAACTCCACTTGCCATTTAGTGTTAACATCCAGGGCTATTGCAATGGCGTGGTGTGCCTCGTGGATAAGTTTGTTGGTCATAGAATTGCCCTTTGGAACCCATCGATTAACGAATTTAAGTTCCTTCCCCCGACTTGCATCCAACGCCATCCAGATGCTAAATATCTCATGTTTGCTGGTACCAGTACTGGCTTCGATCGTAATTCTCAAGATATCAAGGTAGTAAGGTTCGTGTTCGACATTTTTCCTGAAGAACATTATACTCACCCCACGACTCACGCGGAGTTGTACTCCCTAAAGTCCGATTCTTGGGAGGAATTACCTGATTCTGTTACCTCATCACCTTGGGAGGAATCACTCGTCCGGGTTTCTGCTTCTGTAAATGGGGTTGCTTATCGTGAGACGGAGATAAACAGCAGGGTGCGACTTCTTACCTTTGACTTTGCAAGTAAACAATTTTCTTTCCTTGATCTTCCGGATTCCGCTAAGCTTGTCGGGACATCTTATAGGCTGCATCTTGCCGAGCGGGAGGGGAAGCTTGCTGCTATAATCTACCCAGAGTGTACATTCTACCCAAAGTATAATATCTACCCAAATTCTGAGACGAAAAAAAAAAACTTGTGAGTTGTGGGTGAGAAGTCATGATGATGGTTCATGGGAGCGGGTATCCACTTTTCGTGTTCCTGGTGGTGTTAAGCCATTAGGGTTCTGGACGAATGATGAATTGCTTTTTCAAGGCCAAGGTGAATATCTAATCCGTTTTCACCTCGAGACTCGAGAGGTTAAGCATCTTAGTCTTACTATTCCAGATGATGATCATGTGGAGTTCGTTCCTTGTGTGGAGAGTGGAACTCGGCTCGTTGGGAAATCAGAATTTGAAAACCAAGAGGTATAGTAATGTAATATGTTGCTTGAAAATGGCTAATATTTTAAGCTTATGGTTGGAGGTGATGTCTTTTGTTGTTTCCTGGACTGTAACTTATAAAGACGCAGTCTTCAACTCTGGAACTTATCGTGGTTAAAGAACAATAATCAACTTTGAATTATTTAGCAATCAAGTACAAGTTTCAACAAGGGAAACATAAAATAATCAAGCACATGTCCGAACAACAAAAAAAAAAAAANNNNAAAAAAAAATAAATAAATAAAAAAAAAAATAAAATAATAAATCTGGTTCAAAGACCTCTAAAAGGACAAGTTTGGACTGGATTTAATGTACTGTCACCCGAGAGGTGACACACACGCTGACGCT